CAGGGCCAGGCTGGCCGGGTGTCCCTGGGGAGGCTGAGGTTACTGTGGGCTCCTCCAGCCTCAGCCCCTGCCAGCCCTCTCCTCCCAGGCTCTGTCCCGTGGAGCTCAAGCCCTGCCCGAGCCCAAGCTTGGCTGCTCCCGTGTGAGCTGAGGGCACCACCACAGGCGGCAGCAGCCCTGAAGCAGCACTCAGCTCACCTTGCCTGCAGCACCTCCCAGGACGCAGCACTGCCCAGGCAGGGAGAGGGACAGTGCTGCTCCACATTGCCCAATCCCAGCTCCCAGCAAGCCACCAGCTTCTGTGCACCGTGGGCTGGGGTCAGGCTTTGCCAGAGGAGCTGTGGTCCACACGTGGCATTGAGAGAGACAAGGTGGGATGGGGATGACCCATCCCAGAGGTGCCACTTCCCATGATCAGGGGCAGGACCTGGAAGGTGATGAGAACCAAGAGGAATGATGCAGGAGCAGGCACACGGCTCCAAATCAGCAGTGCCCAAGCAGAGGCTGGAGCATCACCAGCATCTGTGGCACTCAGGGACCAGAGCCCCCCCAGGGCCTGTTCCTGTGGCGAGCGGGAGCGCCCCCGGCTCAGCCTGCCCAGGGCACGTCTGCAGGAATACCTGGCAAGACAACATGCCTTGGGCAGCAGGGCCTCTGCCCTCCAACTGTCATCGCCACTGTACAGTCTGGAATGGCCTCTCCTCTCCTCCAGTGTCACTTTGGGCACACGCTGGCTGCTGCTGCAGCTCCAGGTGGAGGGGGACATCCCCACGCGGGCAGTGGAGCAGGAGCCCACGTGCCACAGCCATGGCACAGGGCAAGTTGGGCTGAAATTCCCCAAGGAGAGCAGGAGCACGTGCCTGGACCCCGGCCACACTTCCTGGGGCACTTCCAGCTTTACACACTCATGTGAGAGGCGGGGTTGGTGCCCAGGCATGACGCCTGAGGTCAAGGTGAGGGATCAGAGCTCCGAGAGCAGGCCCTGCAGTGCTGGGGAGCCATGGGAGCAGTTCTCCAAAGGAGGCGTGCCCGTGGCTTGGCATTGTTACAAAACTCACTTCTGGGCAAAGAGAAATAAGGTGAAAGCAGTCCCCTCACAGGAGTCTGTAGCACTGAAGGGCAACAGCTGCTGCACAGCAGCATTTCAGCTGCCTTGGTCCCAAACCCAGCGCCCCAACAAGCAGCACGGTCAGAGCACAGGAGCAAACCTCCCACCAGGGCTTCTCAGGCTGTGAGGGTTTATTTTCCCCCTTCCCATTGAGGACCTGAGGCCAGAGCCTACGCTGGCTGTGGCTGGATGACAGGCTGTCCCGGGGCTGCCTGGCAGGGCACCAAGCACGCCGGTGCCATAGCTACGCGGCTGTCACAACCCCTCTGCAGCACACTTTAACCTTTCTGCTTTGCAGGGCCCCTGGCCAAGCCCTGCCCGCTCTCCAGGAAACCCAACACCCGGCTAAATCGAGCAGCAGGGCAGGAGAGAACAACAGCCCCACCTGAGCCCTGGCCCTGCTGCTGGAGCACCAGCCAGCCCCACTGGGGACCCACCGGGGCACGCGGGCGGCGGCTCGGCTGCTTCCATCAACACCCAGGACTTCCCCAGACCAGCTGGTGCCATGGTGGGACCAGTCCCATCAAGGTGATGGGGAAGGGTGGGGGAAAAAAATCCCAACACCATCCAAAGAGCTTCCAGAGCTTGGCAGCAGCTCGAGGACAGCACCACGGGTGCCAGCAGCAGCATGGAACCCAGGCACTGGGGCCTGCCCACGGACAGCCCACCCTGGCCACAGGGTGGCCAGCATGGTAGCCCAGCAGAGGCCAGTGAGAACCAAAGCTGTCACCCTGAGAGTGTCACCAAAGCCTTTCCACAAGGGTCTCATTCACCAGCTAATAAGACCTTGCAATTCTCAGCTACTCCTTAAGATGGAAGCCCAGGACCCCGTCAGCTGCTGTTTAGTTCTGGCTCTAGTCAGAGTTCAGATTACTTTGATAACAACTCAACTAGAAATGCATGAGGAACATTTTGTACCTAGCTCCAGCTCTCTTCCCAGACCCTCTTTCCCAAAGCACATCTGTAAAGGGGATGAGTTTTGACTTCCTGAATATAAGAAATTTTTTTTGCAAGCCCAACACAGCAAGAACAGAGATTTCACCTCAATTTGTCACCCTGCCCTGACTCTAGAGGTGCTGAGACAGCACTCGGTTACATCTCAGCCTCCTGCTCCAGTCCTGTAACTTGATTATCCCACTGCTCTACTGCAAACATCACCTGCCACTGTTGCCCTGTCAAAACCTCAACCAGACCCTGTCCTCAGCGACGTTCAGCTCCTTCAGGTCACCCATCATTTATGCATTTTCTACACTAGAGCAGTTTTTCACCACTTTCCCCCCTAATTAAGGTTACACCCAGCACCCACGGGCCTGGCAGAACCTGCTGGCTGACTCAGATCTGTGCCAGGCCCCACAGCCCAGCAGGACGTGGCAGCCCGAGGTTCCCTTTCGCTAGGTCTGCAGAGGCTGAGGAACATAAGAGGCCATGGCTGCAGGAGGAGGTCATGTCTTTTATTAGCCCCAAGGATACCGTTGGGGAGAAGGCTGTCAGGCTGTCAGGCATACGAGCCCTCCTGCGGGGCTGCAGCAGAGGCCATGTAGGGCTGTCACAGAAACCCACTGGCTCCATCCTTCAGGGATCGATATCTGCCCCAGCTCAGCAGCCTCGTTATCTCACTGGCCTTTACATTCCTCCCCAGCTCATCACCCTTCAGGCCTTCCCCTGACCCTCTGCCACCTTGTGCCACTCCTGCAGCCCACACGCTGCCTGCTCCCGAGGTGCCAGCAGAAGTTCCTTGGTGGCACACTGAGGTCCTGCCACGTCCCCCATCCAGCAGATCACATGGAAGAGCTCCACCACCACCACAGAAGTCAGGTTAAGGCAGACTGAGAGAACAATCAGGTCCCCAGTTTTTAATTTTCAGGACATTTACAAGCTCATTCCTGTTCATTATATGTCAGGGCTGTCACTGTGACCAGCAGCTTTCGTGGCCAGGCTGTTGCTGACTGCCCTGCCACCCTCAGCTGGCAGCAGCCATCCTGTGTGACTGCAACAACCTTTGGGGCCTGGTTCTGCCACAGCCACATAAAGATCCTCAAGAGCAAGGAAAAGCTGAAATTTAGGCAAAAAAGGAGCTTTGTCTCTTAGCTTGCTGTTTTGCAGAGGTCATGCTGCCAGAGAGTTGTTTATCCTTCAGTACCAACATGCTTCTCCAAACCCCCTGGCTCTCCAGTCACTCCGTTACCAATCACACAACACCTTCAGTTTTTGTGCTTGGGTTTGTTTGGTTTTAAGAACTGTGCTTCAGTGGGGATGATTTTTCCTCTTTTAAGCAAACCCTGGAGGAGTTTCCAAGCTGTGGAGATGTGGTGCTGATGGACAGGGGTCAGTGGGGACCTGGCAGTGCTGGGGGAATGGTTGGACTCAGTCTTAAAGGTCTCTCCCAGCCTAAATGATTCTATGATTTTGTGAATAAATGTTTTGTCTTTAAATTTAGCTCTCTGAGGACCTTCTGCCTCCACTGACTCTCTCAGATTAGGAATGAAAACACAAGTAGTTGCTCACCACACTTTGGGGAGGATGAGACAGTGCCCATGACCATACCCCCAGGCTGGTGTCCAACACCCAAAAAGTTTGAACTCCCTTTTCTCCATCCAAACAAAAATCTGAATAAGAGGTCATACACTTTAAGAACACTCTTCCAATAGTATCCAGATTCAGAGGAAATGAGAGCAAAGTCTGTCAGTCTCCAAACAAGAAAAGGTTTGTCCTACCTGGACACATTAATAGTTTCCCATGTTTTCCTCTGTTCAAACCACAACAGCCATGAGCAGCCCCACTCCCACAGCAAGCAACCCATGAACACAGGAGGGGCAGAGACTCGAGTCATTAGAGCCACAAGAGATCATGCCAGGCTCTGTTTCCAAACCTGAGCTAGAGGGTTTGCTCTTGTTCCATCTGCCAACAGCCTCAAGCACAGCTCTGCTGACCTACCACACCAGCCTTCACTTGCAAGTCCCTTTTCAGCTTGAGTTAGCAGAGCAACAGCAGCACACCCCTCAGCAGGAGCATCCAAGATCACCTCTTGGGTGTAGCTGTGTCCCTCACAGCCCGTTGGAGTCATCCTCCTCATTAAGACAAGTCAAGAAGAGGCCTAAAAGAGTCTTAACAGGGTGAGAAATCATTTCACAATGCCGAGGCAAGAAATAGTTCTTAGTAAATTTTAATCTAAATTTGATCACCTCTTCACAACACTGGAAGCTTTGTCCTCAGGCACGTTGGAGTCTGTTTAGCTCTGCTAGCCACGTTGGACTGGCTAGGAGATGATGTGTCTTTAGCCAAGAGAAGGGCACTGGCAGGAGCCAGCTTCCAGCAGGTCATTTGCCAGTTAAGTGGTTCCTCAAATAGAATTTTAGCTATAAACAGCAGAAGGCTCAATGCTCCAATATACACAGGGAGCTGCTTTAAGGGGTGGGCAAGATTCTCTTTAGCACTCATCTAAACATCAACAAGAAAGGTCAGACCTGCAACGTGCTGTCTCATAGAAGCTGCTCCACACAATTCAAGCTCAATCCAGAGCGTTCACCGTGCGCCCTTTGCCAAAACCCCTTCTGAGGGCAGGGTCCAGCCCACTACCAAGAGACAGCCACCTGACTGGGAATTTTTATTTAGTTCAGGTGCACAATATTTTTTATACAATAGTAAAACCTAGTTTAATCTTTAGAGAACAAGATGCCTAGCTGTGGAGGAAGGCCATGGAGACAGCGTGGTACTGCCTGTACCTGCCTCTGCCATCTGCCCCACGTGGCCTTAAGCTACTCAACAGAACCATCACGGAACCAAGCGGAGGAGCTGAGACTGAGCAGTCAGATAAAAACAACTGGTTCCTCTCTGCCTGTCAAGGGAGTGAGTGGAGAGGGAAGGGTTCTCCCTCCTGCCACGTGGCTGGGAGTCAGCATCGGAACCTATCTGAGAAGTTGGGTGACTTGGGTGTGGTCAGGGGCTGATCGCTGGGCTTCACCTCCACGCTGCAGTACTTGCGTATTGGGTTTGCCTTGTGGACCTGTTACAAGCAAAAAAACAAGGGCAAAATGAAGCCAGTGGTCACAGGGATGCTGAAACAGAGCTGCAGGAGGTGGGGTGAAGGCAGCTGGCTGTCGACCAGCCTGCCCCCACTGCCTAGGGCACTGCAGCGAGCCACCAGGGGCACACACAGCACACGGGGGGGTTGTGGGTTTTACAGCCACCCCATGACTGCATGTGTACAGCTCCAGAAATCAGCCATCACAGCAGAGATGCCTTTTAAGGCCAGTTGTAAAGTTCACAAGGGAGCAGTTTGCAACAGGGAAACTTGGAAAAAAACTGCCTTGATGCAGCCCAGCAGGGACATGAGCTCGTTTGGTACATTCACACATCCCTCTGGGTTCTCCACTGCCCTGTTCACAAAGAGCTCACTTACCAGTTCTTGTCTTAGCTTAGCAATTTCCTCCCTTTCACGCTCCTCCTCTTGCTGTCTGATCATCTCTTGATTTTTCTCCTTTTCAGCTTCTACAACTGCCAATCGTTTTTCATACTCTTGCCTCTCTTTAGCTCTTTTTTCTGTCGCCAGCTCAAAGCTTTCAGGAACTACAGAACCAGAAAGGCTCTCTAAGTTTAGAAATAGAGGAGATAACATTGATGCAGACAGTCAGGTAAAGCAGAGCAGCACTAGTGTCAAACAGAAGCCTCCCTCTGGAGGGCTTCCCCTGGCATGGGGGGTTAGTAGATACCTCCAGGCTTCAGGAAAAGAGAAAAGCTGCCTCCAGAGGCGTGTTAATGCAGATGTTACCCCGCCACGGGTGTTCTCACAGGAGGGAGCAAGGACACAGTTGTTAGTACCAACCAGCTTCTGGCTTGTTCTACACCCCAAGAAAGCTCAGCCTGGTCTCCCTTAGGCTGTAGGCGCCTTCATCTCGTTAGAAACGGGAGGCAAAGACTGACAGTGGCCACAGAGATGCCAGCTGTCCGTGCAGGGAGCTCCATGCACACTATCCGCCCTCAGCAGACATCAATCATCTGCCAATTGTGGCAGAGCTGTTAAATGCAGCTGCCATGTTAGTGCTGGATGGGCCCAGAGGAAACCCCCCCTCGCTCCCTCGGGACACGAGCTGTTAGGGAATTAGTTGATTAAGTGCAGGGCACTATTGGCCGTGCTGATAAAGAGGCAACAGCCAGTCTAAACATCATCTAATCACATCAGGGGGTGAGATATCAGCCAAGCCTGGGTAGCAAGTACTTGTAACTCCACCTGATAACATCTTATTTTCCTTTTTTGGCACAAAAGGTTCCTGGTACATCACTGTGTTGGGACGAGCTTTAAAACACGCTGCCTCTTTCTGCTTTTTTAAGTCTTCTTTAAGCTGCAAGAGAAGAAAGCTCATCAAGCACCAGGCATGACAAAGAGACCATCTCCCCTGAGCTCAGACCTCAGCACTCCCAACACTGGAAAAGCCAGGCTGGCTTCAGTCAAATCATTTGCACAAGTTAAAGTCCAAAAGTGTAACTTGTTGCCTGTCAGTGACTTTTGCCAAAAATAGCCTTGAAGGCATCCACTGCAGGCTTCACCTGGAAAAAGCAGAGTATTACTCACAGAAATAAATCCCCAAGCACAGAGGTGCTTGGCAAAGGGATCCAGCTGCACAGAAGCTGCTGCTTAGAAAACACCCCACAGCTCTGAGTAAATCATGCAGTTGTGGGAAATCCCATCACTTATCACTGAGGGAGAAGTGACCCCAAACCACCAATCCTCAACCCCAGCACAAGTCTCATTCCAAGGGGAGGATAATTCACTGCTCCAACTCCAATCCCAGATCAACTTGAGCAGGACACTCCTTGAAGTCGATCACAGCTCCAAGGCTGGTCATACCTCTTCTCCTTTTCACCCTACCTGCTGTTTCCAGCTCTGGAGCTTGGCAGCTCCCCGCTCATCAATCTGCAGATTGAATGGCTCAGGCTGAGTTGGGTTCTTGACCTTCTTTTCTGGCAGCTTAACTTGGTCAAAGTAAGGCAGAGGAAGAGCTTTGAACTTTGGCACCTGAAAGAAACAACTTGAAATATTTCTTGTCCTCTCCTCAGAGGCACGAAGCCTCAGGAGTCTAACAGCCAGCAGCAAGAGGCACATCTTGCCAGTGTTTTTACTTAGGGAGTGGAATCCAAGGTAGTTTTTAGGTCTTACCTCTTCCTTCTGCAATTCCTCTATTTTTTTCTCTTTTTGTATTTGGCGCTCTTTGTCCCGGGCATCAAAAGAGAAGGGGCAAACTTCCACGTGCCTCTGCTCTGGCATTTTAGGTTTGAAGGGCACTCCGTAGTGTGGCACAGGGTTAGCTTTGATCACAGGAACCACCTCTTTTTCCTAGAGAGAGATTCGTGTTAGGATCTGACACAGCACTGGATTGATTTTTGTAAAGACTGCAGCTCCTGCCAGACGAAGCCACGAACACGAGAGTCCCTTCAGGGAGGGTCATAACAGCATCAAGCCAATGCCCTGGACACTGGAAAATCACTTCATCCAAGAAATACAGTTTACAGGCACCCTGAACTACAGGCCAGTTCTTTTTCCAAACCACCACCAGTTCCAGTACTCATCCAAATGAGATCCCTCACGTTTAAATTGTTTCGTTTTGTATGAGAATTCAGCTTCTGTAAGATGAGTGGCAGCAGCTAGACTGTTGGAAGGGAATGGTCCAGAGAGAGGTGACCACTGGAGGAACTGCCTGCCAAGAGGGCAGGGGCTGCCTGAATGAGACCATCACAGAGGCACAGCAGCTGCTGTGGTGGGACAAGGGTTGACTACAGCCCATAGCCAAGAGTTTACCTTTTCTTCTTCCCTGCCAGGCATTCGAGTCCTGCTTCTCAAGGTGAACGCTGGAGACTTGGGGACTGTCACAGGAAGCACTTTTTTCTCTGGAACACCCTATTCAGAAGAGCCAGGAGTTGAATTTAAGTGCCAAGAAAAGGCACTACAGAGAAACAAGCTGACGTGGCACAGTCCAGACTCACTGCAGTTCTCACCCAACGACTGACAGTGTTTACTGCAGATTATTTAATACATAATGCACCACAGCTAGGGACATTTTGAAGCTAATTACCACCTTAGCCCAAATTCTCAGACCTGGGTGTTAGTGAACTTCTTACCACAACATCCTCCAGGATTTTTGTTGGACAGGGCCTGGAGTGGAATTCAAAGTGCTCTTCCTCCTGCTGCTTCTTACTCTCACGCTCCTGAATCCTTTTTTCTATTTCCAGTTCAAAGCCAATGGGCTGTGTGAGCTCCTTCACAGCAGGTTTCTTGGGCAGGAGTGGTCCACCCTCAAAGATTTTGTGATTGAGTTCTTGTGCTTTGAATTTGTACCTACACAGGAAAGAGGGACATAGTCACCAACATAACGTACATGGCAAGATGCAGCTTCTAGCAAATGGTTCTTCTCACAGCAGGAAAGGGGAACAGAAGCACACACACAGCACAGTGTGCAGCTCTAGTTGGCAGCACCCTGGCTTTTGAAACAGCAAGATGTTACCAAAAAACCTCATGGATTGCTTTCCTGGAAAGCCAAACCTCTGTCTGCAGGAGCTGTGAAGTGTTTGCAGGCTGTACTGCCACACTGGGTTTGTTTTACTAATTATGAGCAGTACTCAACCCACAATAAGCTCTCCTAAGAGCACTTCAAAAAGAATTTGCCACTTTTCACATCCCTACAATCAGAGCCTTAGGATTATGCACAAGTTAAAAGAATCTTAATGGGTTTTTTTCCCCCTACTCATTCATTTATGCAAAAAGGGTATTCCTGAGAAGTGATACATTGGCATCTGAGAAGTATTTCCAATGTGGTCCAATTCTCTCTTGGAGGACCAGAGGAAATCTTCACTTACTGTTGAATTTTCTCCATTTCCTCTGCTTCCAGCTCTGCAGTGGTTTTGCAGGTGGGGGGTCTGAAGCGCTGCTTGGTTAGCAGCAGGGGTGTTTTGGGGTGTGTCAGCCGAGCCTTCGGCACCTTGCGTGGCACTGGGCCTGCAAATTCAAGTCACAGAGAGCAGCAGTTACTGGCAAGGCCTGCAGCCAGCCAGCCAAAGCACCATTCTTGCTCTGCCACCCTCTCTGTGGGCAGCCTGGGCGCCGTCAGGACCGCTCACCTTCCTCAGACTTCCTGCTCCTCAGGTGGTAACGAGGGGGTGTGCGTTTTTGGAAGGCTTCTACCTGCTCAGCCAGGGACACGTATTCTGTTGTGATTTCTTCAAGTTTCCTTTTGTTTCCCTGGGACAGGTTGAAAGGTTTGGGGACAGTGGGTCCCTTTGGCATCCGCACCTGGAGACAAAACCCCACGGTTGTTATGGCTGTTTAACAGATGCTGCAATGACATTTCCTCACCCCACTGACCCACCCTGTGTGTCTGTTAAAGCAGCACAGAACCCCAGACTGATGGGGCTTGGAAGGGACCTCTGGAGATCATCCCTTCCAGCCCCCCTGCTCCAGCAGCTCACCCACAGCAGGGTGCCCAGGGTCACAGCCAGGAGGGTTTGGGATCTCTCCAGAGCAGGAGACTCCACAGCCTCTCTGG